ATATAGATTTTTCGATTATAAAAGAAATCAAATTTTATCACTAACAACTCATGTACGTAGACAAAAAAGAGTAAAGAAACACATTGTTTCACTAGCATATATAAAAAATTTATCATAAAAGAAATCAATTTTATCACCAACAACTCGTGTACATATTGTGTCGTGTTTCGCGAGCATACATAGATTTTTTCAGTTATAAAAGAAATCAAATTTTATCACTAACAACTCATGTACGTAGACAAAAAAGAGTAAAGAAACACATTATTTATTTGTTAAGTTTCGTGTCGTGTTTCAGTAGCATACAAAGATTTTTTTATTATAAAAGAAATCAAATTTTATTACTAACAACTCGTGTAAGTAGATAAAAAGAGGAAAGAAACATATTATTTAATTCTTGAGCGTGTCGTGTTTAACTAGCATATATAGAATTTTTTATTGTAAAATAAATCAAATTTTATCACTAACAACTCGTGTACGTAGATGAAAAAGGGTAAAGAAACACATTATTTATCTGTATAGTTTCGTGTCGTGTTTCACTAGCATACATAGATTTTTCTATTATAAAAGAAATCAAATTTTATCACTAACAACTCGTGTATGTAGATGAAAAAGAGTAAAGAAACACATTATTAATCTGTTTAGTTTCGTGTCGTGTTTCACTAAAATATATAGATTTTTTTATTATAAAAGATATCAAATTGTATCACTAACAATTCGTGTATGTAGATAAAAAAAAGTAAAGAAACACATTATTTAATCGTTGAGTTTCATGCCGTGTTTCTCTAGCATACATAGTTTTTTCAATTATAAAAGAAATCAAATTTCATCACTAACAACTCGTTTACGTAGATAAAAAGAGTAAGAAATACATTATTTATCTGTTGAGATTCGTGTCGTGTTAAACTAACATATATAGAATTTTCTATTATAAAAAAAAATCAAATTTTAACACTAACAACTCGTGTACGTAGACATAAAAGAGTAAAGAAACACATTATTTATCTGTTGAGTTTCGTGTCGTGTTTCACTAGTATATATAGATTTTTTTTATTATAAAAGAAATTAAAAATTTTATCACTAACAACTCGTGTACGTATCGTGTCGTGTTTCACTAGCATACATAATTTTTTTAATTATAAAAGAAATTAAATTTTATCACTAATAACTTGTATATGTAAATGAAAAAGTGTAGAAAAACACATAATTAATGGATTAAGTTTCGTATCGTATTCCACTAGAATACATAGTTTTTTCTTTTATAAAACAAGAAGATAATTTTGTTTGTGCTATAATTTGCATTATTTAGTTGTCGACTAAAAATGAAATTTGACAACATGTAAATAGACTAATGTTTTGTAGAATCTTCAAATGTGGAAAAGAATAGTAGTTAGAAGTAAGGACCTATTTTCATGAACCGTAAAATCTTTTACAGCTCAACCAATATAATTAATTTAAACTAAAACAAAATACTCAAACGCTAGTTAAAGATATTTTATTTTATTCTATTTGCAACAAAATATAGAATTAAGAAAGAAAAGAAAAGAAAAGAAAAGAAAAATAACTCACTTATTTTTTAAACAAATAAAAACGTTGATCGCACAATTGGTTTTTTTTTATACGAAGGATTAAACACGTGTTATGAATTATTATTTTTATGAAGGGTAAAACATGTGTTACGGATTATTATTTTTATGTAGGGTTAAATACCTGTTACGAATTATTATTTTTACGTAGAGTTAAACGCGTGCTACGAATTATTATTTTTATGCAGGGTTAAATGTGTGTTACGAATTATTATTTTTATGCAGGATTAAACGTGTTACGAATTATTCTTTTTATGCAAGGTTAAACGCGTGATACAAATTATTATTTTATGCAGGGTTAAACGCGTGTTGCGAATTATTATTTTTATGCAATGTTAAACGCGTATTACAAATTATTGTTTTTATGCAGGATTAAACATGTGTTATGAATTACTATTTTTATGCAGGGTTAAACGCGTGTTACGAATTATTATTTTTATGCAGGATTAAATGCGTTGTGTTACAAATTATTATTTTTATGCAGGATTAAACGCGTGCTACATATTATTATTTTTATACAGAATCAAATGCGTATTACGAATTATTAGCTAGTTTTATACAGGATTAAACTCGTGTTACAAATTATTATTTTTATACAAAATTAAATACGCATTACGAATTCGAATCTTGCTCAACATGCAAAGATCGTGCAAGCGAAGAAAGGTAAGAAACATACTTACCTTTCTTGAGTTTCATATTGTGTTCCACTAGTCATTTTAATTTAGCTTTATTAAAAAAATAGATATTATTTATGTTCTATTTAGCGATATAAGTTATTGTATTTAAATGTAAAATAGATTATAAATTTTTTTTAAAATGATAATATATTAAGATAACCCTAATCGTAATAATGTATGTATATAAGACCAATATTAGATTATAAGCTTCTTTGATAATATCATTGTGGATCTCAGGCTCTTAGCAGTACATTATGCTATGGATTTGGGGAAACTAGAGAAAAAATTGGTTTCGAATACATTACACTAATTATTTATATTAATTTAAAATAAAGAGTATACGTATAGTTGATAAATAAGTACCTTGGAAAAAAAAAAGAGAGAATATGTACATATGTTATTTTCCTTGAAGATGTCAAATTAAATAAAAGTAAATATTCTGCATTTAATAGAAGCCTTGAAAGGAAAAAATATATTTTAGAATTATGTAATCTGTGTCTTTAATTGTTTTTAGATAATTCTTTTAATTATTCTTAATAACTTGTTTATTATAATAAATTAAGAAAAAATAAAAAAAATTTACTTGTTATATCCTTAATTAGTTACTCTGAAAAAAATACATTTTTTTAAAAAGGCATAAACACATAAATGTGTCATTTAACTTGACTTTAAATCATATTTATGCCCTTCAAGTTTGGATGTGCACAAATAAATATTTAAAATTGTATAAAGTTGAACAAATAGACACATATGTCCTACACGTCATTTTTTGTCCTACGTGTATTGTGCCGTGTAAAACTCATGTGTTTATTTATTTAAAAGTTGAATAGTTAAAACGTCTTTTTGTTTATTATAAAAGTTAAAGATCAAAATTAAAATTTAAAGTCAAATTTAAATTTTAATATATGAATTATACCTTTTTAAAATATCAATAAACTAAAAAGTTAATATTCAGCTATTAAGGCAAATGGTAAAGTAAAAGCCTAAAAGGAACATTAATGCAAAAATAACTAAAACCAAATATGTAGACGGTCATTTTTTAGCATATTAAGAAAATACAATTATTATTAATTCATCATTAACATAAATTGTCTATTTCCCAAATTACTTCTCACAATCTTAATTGATATATAATTAATATAAGTATCAAAATAAATATTTATAGTTTTTATAGTTGTGAATTGTGATTGAATTTTCCAATATTGTATTTTTGCTTTGCCTTTCCTGTATTAGATTTTTATTTTAGGGAAAAGGCTCAATATGTCATCGAATTTTTAGAATAAATTTATTTGTGTTATAAGTTAAAAGTTTGACTCATTTGTATCATTATCGTTAAAAAAAAACTAATTCATGCCATTATTTTTTTAAAATAGTTTTGAAAAACTATTTTTAACACGTGGCCAATTGTAATTCGGCCACGTCATCTGTTTTTTAAGTTAAAAAAATCATAATTCTGAAAAAGAGTTGAATTAAACTTTCTTTTGATTTTTTTATTAAATAAATTGATGACATGGCCGAATTATAATTGACTACGTGTCAAAAAAATGGTTTTGCAAAATTATTGTTAAAATATACTAGCATGAATGAACATTTTCTTCAACGATAATGATAATAATGAGTCAAACTTTTAACAAATGACTCAAATAAACTTTTTCTCAAAGTTCAATGACATATTTAAGTCATTTCCCTTTCTTTTATTATTCGTTTAGCTTTAGGCATTTAATTCATCACGTGGTAGAAAGGGTATTATATTGTATAAGAGAGTAAATGGCTTCTAATTGGCATAATTACACTATTTATTTTATTTGATTGAATAGAATAATTACTTGGTCATCAGATAATTGATATAACTGAGAGAGGGTAATTACGCTCTTCAATTCACAAGCAGAGGCCGTGAATTGCTGATAATTACATGGTGTAATTACCGATTAATTACTTTTTAATTTCCTTTTTTCAAATTCTATTTTGATTATTTTGTTTTTAAATTTTTGTTACTTCAATTATTTCAAGTTATATTTTT